CTTAAACTCACGCCGGGCGCATGTGCGTGCGTGCCCAAGATCCCGAGAGGAGAATGGAGGAGAAGGGATTATGGCGTGGCCATCCCCCCTGGTGGGGTGTGATTTCTTGCTTTCTGTCTCCCTGTCTCTGTCTGTCTGGCAAGCGCACGTGCCCTATAGCAAAAACCCCTCCAAAAAAAAAAAAAGAAAAAAAAAAGATTAAAAAAAAGAAAGTAAGCCACCAGATCCAGGACTTGAACCATAATCAGCCATGTGGGAGTCCCGTACCTTAACTATCATTTGCCTGCTGGCTCCCATACACATTTTTTTAATTGCCAGAGGGAACATGCACTCACAAAGAGAAACACAAAGACAGAAAGAGAGGGGAGAATGCACCCCACAACAGAGCACGGTCAGGCTGCCATCCTGTCTCCATTTTTCCATCCTGTGGGGATTTGGGGCACAAATACACATGTGCCCTAAAGGGGCAGGAGGCCAAACTGCAGTAGGCCATGTGGGATCCAGCTCCCATAACTACAAGGCCATGGGGCCATCCCTAGAAACATATACATTTTAAGTGTTTGTGGAGGGATGATTATGGCCCACGCTGGGTGGTACAGTCGGTAATGTACTGAACTATACACTGGAAGCCACAAGGCTGAAAACAGATTCGGATTCCTGGCCCAGTCAACCTGAAATACGCTGCATGCACATGTGCCCAAGACACTAAGGAGCTTAGAAGGATGGAGTAAGCGGATTGTAAAGTGAGAAGACCCTGCCAACGGTGCTTCACTCTCTCCCTCTCTTTATTTCTCTCTCTTTTATATGGACGTACTCTTTATTATAAATAAACTAAAAAGAAACATTATTTCGGCCAGCAGGTAGCATGGTGGTTAAGGCACCGGATCTCACATGGCCAACTGCAAGGTTCAAGTCCTGGACCCAGTAACTTGCACACATGTGCCTGCATGCCTAAATCCCAAGAGAAGAAATGGAGAAGGGATTGCAGTGTGGCCAGCCTTCTTGTTGGGGGGAAGTTCTCTCTCTCTCTCTGTCTCTTTCCACAAGCACACACACCCCATAGCAAAATTTAAAAATATAAATAAAAATTAAAAAGGAGCCAGCAGATGGTGTGGTGGTTAGGGCACTGGACTCCCACATGTCTGACCGTGGTTCGTGTCCCGGACCTGGCAGCTTGCTTTCTTACGTTCCCATTCTCTCTTTCTCTGTTAAGCACACGTGCCCTATAGCGAATTAAATAAATAAATACTTCTTAAAAAAATTTAAAAAGATACGCTGGTTATTGGTAGCCAGCACTGAAAAAAAGGATATTAATAAAAACTTAATATGAACTTTAAAGTTTGAAGCAAACGTAAGGTTTTAGTATCACCACTGTTAAGAAGAAACCTGTATAGCTATATTCGATGATCTGTATATTTACCCTATGACTTGCAATTTAAAAATTTCTATCATAGGGGCTAGCAGGTGGTGTGGTGGTGGAGGCGCTGGACTCCCATATGTCTGACTGAAGTTCAAGTCTAGGACCTGGTGGCTTGCTTTCTCACTTTTCGTTTCTCTCTCTGGTCAAGTTAAAAAATAACAAGAAGAAATAAAATAAAATAAAATAAATAATCCTTAAACAAATTATTAAAATAACTTTCTCACTTTTCGTTTCTCTCTCTGGTCAAGTTAAAAAATAACAAGAAGAAATAAAATAAAAGAAATAATCCTTACACAAATTCTTAAAATAATTCTTAAAATGATAAATACTTTCATTACAAAGTATGGCATTCTCCTGCAAGGGAAGTGCCGTGTCCGATGCGTTCCACGTCAACACAAATGGAAGTAAGAGCTTTGCTTCTTCATACCTTTTCAGCTTCATTCCACACCTCCACCTCTCCTAGGAAGTCTTCAGGCCTTGTCGACAGGTTTAGTTGGAAGGAAAAGCCAAATGTCGAGTAAACAGATTGCAAGAACTGCAAACACCCCTTTATTTCTTCTTCGATCTGAAATGACAGCAAATGAAATATTCAAACAGAACCAAATGAAAAACGTTTATGACTTTTAAAAAATTGTATTAAGAAAAAAAAAATTTAAAGGTTTTTTTCAAAGGGCACATGCACTTGCTAGAGAGAAACAGTAAGAGAGAAAGTGAAATATCACCCCCTGGGTGGACACCCACACTGCAATCCCTTCTCCTCTATTCTTCTCCTGGGATTCTGGGCATGCATGCACATGCGCCTGGTGGGAGTTTCAAGCCACCAGGTTCAGGATTCAAACTGTGAATGGCCATGTGGAAGTCTAGCACCTTAACCACTGTACCACCTGCTGGCTCCCATTTATACCACTTAAAAAAAAATCTTATATCAAACAAATATAAGGTTTTTTTTTTTTTTTTTTTTTTTAAATGTAGGAGAGCACACATGTGTGCAAGAGAGAAAAAAACATCCATGCAGGGTTGGATCATGTCATGACCCCCTTTCTCCAGCCTCTATCTCCCAAAGATCTAGTTTGTCCATGTACACATCTGGTGTGTTTTCAGGCCAACATGGGGATCTGGACTGCAGTTGGCCAGGTAGCTTCTAAAACTGTAGAGCAGCCAGTAAGCTACGGGTGGCCTAGGCATGTTTTTTTTTTTTTTTTTTTAATTTATTTTATACATTCAATCACTGTACATTGCCACAGCTTGTAAAATAAATTTTCTTAGCGTGAACACACTGCACCCCAATCCAGTAAAAGATATCATACATGTTATCATCAATAGAGAATCCTCTATTTCTGTGTCCCTTAAATGTCTTGCTTCTCTATTTTCTCCTTGACTCCCTTCCTCTCATCCATGTTCTCTCACCTCCCATCCTCTTCCTACACTGTCTCCAGTATCCACAACCATGTTCCATGCTTCTATATCTTCTAATCTTTCAGTTTCTGCCATTGAGGGAAGACATTCAGTATATATTAAGTGGAGACATATGCTATCTCTGTTTCATAGCCTGACTTGCTTTAGTCAGCAGTAAATCTTCCATATTTATTCACTTTTTATCAAATGCCAGGGTCTTGTTTTTTATGGCTGAGTAGTCTTTCATAGTGTATATGTGCCACACTTTTTCAATCCATTCATCTGTTGGTGGACATCTGGGCTGGTTCTATGTCTTAGCAATTGTGAATAATACTGCAACAAACAGGCATGTTCTTAAAACATACAGCTGATGATGACACAGTTCTGGTTGTGTAGCCATTCCATCCATTCAGTTCTTCAATCTTCGATGGAGTAGCAGGCATGTGCAGCTTGCCAGAGCCTCCAGTCCAGTTT